TTATTTATTTATTTTTACTTATTTATTTATTTATTTACTTTTTTGAAGGGGAGGGAGGTTGTTCATAGGAAAAAATAAAACAAAGAAATTTAAATTTAAGTAATTGTCTTTTAATAATAAACAATAAAAAAAATGAAGAGGGTTTTTCTTAAAACAAGCAGAATAATTTCATTCTAAAGTGAAAAGTAGATTATTTACTTCTTATATATATAATTGACTTATGTTAAACTGATTAAAATCAGCTTGCGTGACTTATAAAATTAAGTTAGAATATAATTAACTTGGTTACAATAAGTTACAATGAACTAAAATGCATGCTGTGTGATCATGCATGATCATGGATCAATCATTTTTACAGTGTAGGAAATTAAAAATAATAATTAAAAGGCAAAGGCTGTGAGTGATAGCATGTGGTTTTTGCAGATTTGGTGTGTGGTTCTGCTCTTTGAGCGTTTGGGACAGAGGCGGACGGGCTATAGGGAGCACAGGCACATTTCCCAGTGGCCTGATGGTCAATCTGGCCTGCCACCCTAACTCCCATAGCCACCCCCCACCCCCTTTCACCTACCGATGGACCACCAAGCCCCCTTCACTTACCATTTGCAAACCCCCGATTGACCCCCCCTCCATGCTCTTTAACTACCAATGCCCCTCCCCTCCTCCCCGCTCTTCACTTACCGATTATCACTACCACCCCCTCAACCCCTCCCCCCACCCAACCCCAGTCTTCACTTTCTTGATTGCATCAGATGCTGCTTGAGTAATACTAACTTCTCCCAGGTGAAAATGCTGTGTCCCAGTACACCACTGGTTTTCGGAGATTAGGTGACATAATAAAAACATTTAGCGTAAACTATTAAGGTGACATACGATGCATTTATTCAATGAGTTAAACTGTTCTCTGATATCTACACAGTAGAAGGTTTAGATAAGTTAAATATATAAAAAGTTCTAAGAAATGGTCGTTAATGCTCAGGAAAAACCCCAGGAGCAATTACAGCTAGAATGAAAAAGCTCAGGTTTGACCATATATGGAAGGGTCATGAATATTAATGAGCTCTGCTTTGGGTATAACACAAATGAAAGCAAAGGCAGGATTTAATATCAACCTCAAACAGATATGTTTATTAAAATGTATTACTGTTCTTTTAGTGAATTAAACACTGAGCTGTTTACTTGTGTTTGTTGCTTCATTACAAACATGTGACAGAACAAAGGACACAATAACACGGACCTTATACCATTCATTCACTTTCTTTTCAGCTTAGACCCATTATTAATCAGAGGTCGAACCGACAACTTATCCAGCATATGTTTGCACAGCGGATACCCTTCCAGCTGCATACCAGTACAGGGAAACTCCCATTCACATTCTTTCACACACACTCATACACTACAGCCAATGTAGTTCATCAATTTCCCTATAGAGCATGTGCTTGGACAGGAAACCGGAGCACCCGAGGAAACCCACGCAAGCGCAGGGAGAACATGCAAACTCCACACAGAAACACCAACTGACCCAGCCGGGGCTTGAACCAGAGAACTTCTTGCTGTGAGGTGATTGTGTTACCCACACGCCCAGACTTTAAACCTCTGAATGAATTTATAATATGCATATTCTACATTTTGCATTCTGATGAGCTGTAAACCGATGATACACACAGCTCTGTTAGTGTTTGTCGAGCCTCTCGTGTTTTCAAAATAAAAGTCCCGCATGCATAGTAAGTTTAATACACAGTTAAACTTAGAAATAAGAAGGAAAAACAATCACAGTCATAATCTCACTAGGAAATGTCGTAGCCAATCAAACGCAGCGTGGGTGTGCATATTAATGAGCCCATGTGCGATGGACAGTCTGTGCTTTGCTCTGATTGTGTGTGATATATATGAGAACATCATCACCATAATAATGATCACAAACAGCACGAACAGCAGTAATAATAATCCTAGAAATAATAAAACTAAAGGTGATGATAATGAAGGCATTGTGTGACTGGCCTGCTGTATACTCATATGTGCTGCACTCTTATTATTCCTGGTATGGTATATTTATTTTCGCTGTATGGCACTAGTTTTAATGAATAATTTCTGAAATGAATGTGAATATTTGACAGCATGATGAGTTTATCTGACAGCCCACTGTCACGTCACTGTTTGCATATGGTAATGAGCTGTAATATATCCACAGAGAGTCACACACACGCACAAACACACACACACACACACACACACCTGTATTGTTGTGTAGGCACGTCTACAGGGTGTGTCGTGTTTGTTCTTGAAGTACTTATACTGGGAGGAGTTGATCACAAAACAGCACAGCTGGAGGAGTTTAACTGTATCTTAACGTGTGTGTGTGTGTGTGTGTGTGTTTGTGTGTATGTGTTTTTTGCATAGAAGTGTCTGTGTGTACTGTATATGCGTTCATACATGTTTGTGTAGTGTACGTGTGTGTGTGTGTGTGTGTGTGTGTGTGTGTGTGTGTGTGTGTGAGTATCTGTGTGTTTATTGTATATTTGTTTGTAATGTGTGTGTTTACTTTTTGTATGCGTTTATGGATGTGCGTGTGTGTGCGTGTTTTCTGTGAATGAGTGTATATTTATGTAAATGTGCATCTGTGCATATGTATGTGTGTTTGTTTGTGTGTGTGTGTGTGTGTGTGTGTGTGTGTAATGTGTGTATATGTGTTTGTGTGTGTGTGTGTGTTTGCATGTTTGCGTGTACATTTTATGTGTGTGTGTACAAGCATGCATATTTGTGTTTGTTTGCGTGTGCGTGTGAGTGTTTGTGTGTGCGTGTGTCGCAGTCGGTCTCTGCAGTGTGACTCAGTATCCACCATATGCTCTGCTGTAACGAGTATTAATAGTCGCTCATGCAGTGACTTGAACACAAATGTTGCTCAGTGTGCTGAACACAAAGGTAAACAGCGACCTTTGACCCCTATCCAACAGCCAGGTCACCAACCGACCTCTGCACACACACACACACACACACACACACACGCGCTTGTTCAATCACACTGACACAAACAAACATGTTGTTTTATGCAGTGGATGCTCTCCAGCTGTAACCCAGTGCTGGGAAACACCCCCACACACACAAACACACACACACACTCATACACTACGGCCAGTGTAGTTGATCAGTTCCCCTATAGCACATGTGTTTGGACTGTGGGGGAAACCGGACGAAAACTCACGCCAACTTGGGGAGAACATGCAAACTCCACACAGAAACACCAAGTGACCCAGCCGAGGCTAGAACCAATGAACTTCTTGCTGTGAGGACACATGCTAACCACCGTGCCACCTTGGTAAAAATCTGTATATTCCACCGCACAGGAGAAGAGAGAGGGAAGGTTCTGGAAAATACCACACATACTGACACACACACACACACTGAGGAATTGAAAAGTCAGGTGATGCAGATGAGTCACTATGAGAAAAGTACCTGCTCACTATAAACACAAGTTGCAGTACAGGAACAAAGGGAACAGAGAGTAGCCGGTGTTCAATATCACTCCAGCACTGTTACTCCAGCAGATACAGTACAGTTCCCCTGATGTCCCCATTTGGTTCTCTCTGTATGTTAGTGTGTGTCTGCATGCTTGTGTATTTGTGTATACGTGTGTTAGTAAGTGTGTTTGTGTATGTCTGTATGATTGTGTATTTGTCTGTGTGTGTTTGTATGCATGAGTCAGCATTTGTGTGTGTGTGCAGGTGGGTGGGTGTGTCTGTTTGTGTATGTCAGAGTGTGTGTCGATATATATGTATGTTTGTTTGTGTGTGTAAGTATGTGTTTGTGTATGACAGTGCGATTGTGTATTGGTGTATGTTTGTATGCGTGTTTGTGTGTGTGTGTCAGTCTGTGTGTGTCTGTGTTTATGCATGTGTGTCAGTAGGTATGTGTGTGTCAGTATTTGTGTATTTGTGTGTGTGCAGGTGGGTGGGTGTGCCTGAGTGTTTATGTCAGAATGTGTATGTCAGTATATTTGTATGTGTGTTTGTGTGTGTATTTGTGTGTCATGTTTGTTTGTGCATGTGTGTTAATATGTGTATGCATGTTTGTTTATGTGTCAGTATGAATGTGTGTCAGTGTGTATGCATGTTTGTGTGCGCGTTTGTATATTTATATGTGTATTTGTGTCAGTCTCAGTGTGTGTGTGTGTTTGTGTGTGTTAGCAGCTATCCTACAATGACTTCCTCTAAAGATGAAAGGACAGATAGGCTAATGAGGACGATTTTTTTGGCCATAAATGATTAATTCTGCGCCGTTCTGGGAGCATGTGCGGATAGGAGTGTGTGTGTGTGTGTGTGTGTGTGTGTGTGTGTGTGTGTGTGTGTGTGTTCGGGTCTCTCCGGACTGCTGCAGTTATTCTGGGAGATAATTAGCGCTGGAGTTTCACTGCTGCACCGTCACGACTCTGCGCTGATCGGTACCGGAGCCGGTTCTTCACCTGCGGCGAGCAGCAGGGCCGCGTCCCGCCCTCATCCAACAGCGAACACACACTGTGTAGATATCACAGAACACACATACATAGATATTGGAACACAACTATCCTTATAGGGACTTCCTATACACGCAATAACAGACGTTTTCCTCACAGAGACCAACAAGCTTACCCACAAGGTCAAATTTACTGGTTTTGCTATACTTATGGGGACATTTGGTTACCAGGATGTAAGAAATACAAGGCACACACACACTCACTTGTTTAGCTTTCCTTATGGGGACTTTCCATAGACGTAATGATTGTTGTATTGCACAGACTGTATATTAGGCTATATGTTATTTCCTCTCCCATAAACTCAACCCTCACCGCAAATAATCTGAACTTTTACACCTTCATAGTAGTTAGTTCTGTCTGATTTATAAGCCCTTTTCCTCATGGAGAACAACAATTTTCCTCACAAGGTTAAATTATCTGGTTTTGCTATACTTATGGGGACATTTGATAAGGAATACAAGCCACACACACACACACACACACACACACACACACACACACACACACACTTCCGGACACGACTATGCCAGTCCAGTCCAGCCTTGTGAGCGAGTGTGTGTGAGTTTTTGAGGCAGCAGGCGCAGATCCTCCGCCATTCACACACACACTGAAGGACTAAACGCGGATCTCCAAACTTCATTCAGCTTTAGCACCGACGGGCTCCGGTTTCCGCGCTCAGCGGAGGATTTCACGCTCCCGGTCTGAAACACAAAAGCGTCCCGTGGGAAAATCACGACATGGATGAAGCACTCCTGCGAGCTGTGCTCCTGTTTATCGCGCTCGGTAAGTGTGTGTGTTTGGCTCCAGAATCACCCGCTAATGTTATTTTAAGTAAGTTTGATTCATTTAACGCGCGTCAAAGTACACTCTGTGTGTTAATTAACGTTACAGGATACGACAAACACGTTAGATTGTATTGTTATTGTAAACTCTTGTTTCGTGTTATTGTTGTATGTTGTTTTTTGTGTCGTGTTTGTTTTAATTCGAACTCAAATCAATTCGAAGTCACTTCACTTCACTGCTTTCAGTTCTGCTTCAGCTCTTTGATCTACTCTAATAAACTGAGGGTTTGTCGTAACTAAAAGTTGGATCAAATATGGACGAACCCAAACATTGGGTTAAAGGAGTCATTTAATTTAGATTTTACCAAGACAACTTTGCAACAACCTTTTCATTTTAGAATTTAGCTTGAATATTTATTGTAAACTTCCCAGAGATGATGAATTTCATAATTTTGTTGAAACGACTTTTTGTTTTAATTCCATCTGAGATCAGTCCAAATTCAATTCATTCGAGAAAATTCAGTATTTATTCTTTCAGCTCTCCTTTAGCAATTTAAAAGTTGAGAGGGCATGTCCTAAGCCAAAGTTGGGTCAAATATGGAAAGTTTCATTTAATTTTGATTAAAACTGTCAGCCCAATGTTAGGTTATAACAACAATTTTTTTATAGAGTTTAGCAAATATATATTGCATCTGTATTGTAAGCTCTTGATAGAGTTGTTTAATGTTCTGACTTTTAATAGAAATGAGCTTTAGTTTTTAATCAATTTCTAAATAATCCAAATTCTTTTCACTTCAAGTTGTGAGTTTTCAGTTCGGCTTTAGCAAAATATTCTACACTCTGAAAAGTCAAAAGGTTGTTGTAACCTGAAGTTGGGTCAAATGTGGATCACCTCAATTGGGTTAAAAACTGAACATTTTAACCAAACTTTGGTAATTACTACCCAATTTATTTATTTATTTAGACTTTTCTCTGCTAGACATTGAATCTTCATCGTAAACTCCTGCCAGAGCCATTTTATTTTATAATTTCGTAATAGAAACGTTTTTGTTTTAATTCAAATTAAAACAAATATTTGTTTATTCTCAAGTCAATCAGAATTCAGTCAATTCAGGGAGTGTGCTTCTGTCTAAAAAGTTGAGAGATCTTATCGTAACCCAAACTTGGGTCAATTATGATTGAAACCCAACCATTCAAATACGGCTGAACCCAAGAATTGGGTCAATTATGGCTAAACCCAACCACTGGGTTAAAAATAATCATTTAATTATTATTGAAAATATTAACTCAAATTTAGGTTAAAACAACCCAACATTTATTTCAGATTAGCTTGACATACGTTGAATCTTTATGGTAAACTTCTAGATTTCCCATTCATCTGATTGCTTCAGTCAATTGAGCGACATGCTTTGAGTTCTTTTTTCTGCAATTTAATCTACACTACATGAAAGTCAAAGGCTTGTCCTAACCCAAAAGATGGGTCAAATATGGACAAACCCAACCATAGGGTTAAAAATTGAAATGTAAGGGCCTGTGATATTAAAATGAAGTGTTTCTAGGTGTCAGTATCAGTCTGTTAGTCTTAAAGATATCTATAAGCTAGTGTGCTCCAACAGATGTCTTTAAATGTGACTAAATTCATCATATAAACATCCAAGTCCATGTTTGACCCAAAGCAGAGGCGGATGAAACCAATAAGTAAGATGAGATAGATAGATGGATGGATGGATGGATGGATGGATGGATGGATGGATGGATGGATGGATGGATGGATGGATGGAACGAACGATCGAAGGGTACATGTATGGGAACTGTTGGTTCCAATGGCCCATGGCTGGAATTGCTTAGGGCCCCCAAATCCCTAATCCACCCCTGACCCAAAGTTTATCTAGATTAACATAGACTCTTTATTAGAAACGTCCTGGAGTTGTTTATTTTATGATTTTGTATTAGAATCAAGTTGTTTGTCAAGTTAACCTCAAATTTATTCAGATCTTCAGTCAAATGTGCTGTCAGCAGTTTATTTTGCACGCTTAAACATGCAGATTTTTAACATTGATACAAGTTAAAACGACACAGAAATGTGTAGATTGACTGGTCTGTTAGGATAGTTTTAACCCAAGAACACATTTCCTGCAGTTTAAATTCCTAAACTGACCTTTCACCTACTTAAAATCAAATATATAGCAGTAGGAACATGTATGTGAAATTAAACAGCTAATATATACTCACTGGCCACTTTATTAGGTACACCTCACTAGTACCGGGTCGTATTCCTTTTTGCCTTCAGAACTGCCTTAATCCTCGGTGGCGTAGATTCAGCAAGCTACTGGAAATATTCCTCAGATTATTTATATAGCATCACACAGTTGCTGCAGATTTGTCGACTGCACATCCATGATGCCAATCTCCCGTTCCACCACATCCCAAAGCTGCTCTATTGGATTGAGCTCTGGTGACTGTGGAGGCCATTTGAGTGAAGTGAACTCATCGTCATGTTCATCAGTCTGAGATGATTGAGCTTTATGACATGCTGCGTTATCCTGCTGGAAGTAGCCATCAGAAGATGGAGACACTGTGCTCATAAAGGGATGGACATGGTCAGCAGCAATACTCAGGTAGGCTGTGGCGTTGATGCTCAGTTGGTACTAATGGACCCAAAGAAAATCTCCCCCACACCATTACACCACCACCACCAGCCTGAACCGCTGATACAAGGCAGGATGATCCATGCTTTCATGTTGTCTGAGCCGAGCATCTGAATGTGTCAGCAGAAATGGAGACTCATCAGAGCAGCAACGTTTCTCCAATCTTCTATTGTCCAGTTTTGGTGAGTCTGTGTGAATTGTAGCCTCAGTTTCCTGTTCTTAGCTGACAGGAGCGGCACCCGGTGTGCTCTTCTGCTGCTGTAGCCCATCCGCCTCAAGGTTGGACGTGTTGTGTGTTCAGAGATGCTCTTCTGCAGAGCTCGGTTGTAACGAGTGCTTATTTGAGTTACTGTTGCCTTTCTATCAGCTGGAACCAGTCTGGCCATTCTCCTCTGACCTCTGGCCTCATCAACAAGGCATTTGCAGCCACAGAACTGCCGCTCACTGGATATTTCCTCTTTGTCGGAGCATTCTCTGTAGATCCAAGAGATGGTTTTGTGTGAAAATCCCAGTAGATCACCAGCAACAACCATGCCACGTTCAAAGTCACTTAAATCCCCTTTCTTCCCCATTCTGATGCTCGCTTTGAACTGGAGCAGATCCTCTCGACCATGTCTACCGGCCGAAATGCAGTGAGCTGCTGCCCTGTGATTGGCTGATTAGAGATTTGCGTTAACGAGCAGTTGGACTGGTGTACCTAATAAATTGGCCAGTGAGTGTGTTTGAACACAAGTACACATTATTCCAATGTTTAATCTTAAATTCTTTCAATATTTTGAAATATGTATTGCATGTATGACATTTTATATATGTGAATTTTTAAACTATTGTTTGTCATGTATGTAATTCATACATATTGTCATATATCAGATTTCCTTGTGGGTCAGGTTTGGGTTATGGTACTCTACTGTTGGTATGTTGTGAATGTAATGTAATATTTCCTTCATGCTAGCCCACCGTTTAGCTGCTAGTTTTTGCCTGTGATCTAGTGGCTCATTTGGAGTAATATATGTTTACTGCAAATAAGTGACCCAAACCAGTTTTGCTAGCATCATGTTTACCTGTACAATACATTAGCACCGGCTCTTATGAGGAATTCCTTCACAACGTCAAGTCAACGACGCCAAAAATGGTTTACCATGCAACAGACAGGCCTTTGTTAAATTAAACATTATTATTAAACTTTACATGTTCAACAGAATGCAAGGAATATATAAACACACAGGAATATCCACCACATTTGTTTCACAGTGCTGCTTAAGTTTTAGTTTAAGCAACAGTAATTATCTAGAGATACTGTAGTAAAATGCCTGATTGGCTTATTTTAAGTTTAATCAAGTTAATGTTATAAGTCATTGTAACTAAAATGACATTAAACTGACTTAAAACTGCTCTTATAACATACAAAATTAAGTTAGATTCATCATTAATGTTTACTAAGTCAGAATCAACATCAAAACATGACATAGTCCTGACATATTCGTCATAATAGTTTTCATCCATCCATCCATCCATCCATCCATCCATCCATCCATCCATCTATCCATCTATCCATCTATTATAGACTTAGTGTCCATCCATCCATCCACCCATGCATAGGTCTACATTAGTGCAAAACAAGCTAAATATTGTCTTTAAAATCGTCATAGTTCAGCTCTCTGTGATATTTTTGCCTATCGTCGATACACGATACTATCGCTTATCGGCACAACCCTATATCCATCCATCCATCCATCCAATCTGTTGTGGTGATTCTACAGTTGCCATGGTAACACAAATACAATAATATAAACAAATGACTCAATACTGTACTTTTCTACAACTCTAGGGACTATTATACTACAATACATCACTAAAGTGTACTGTAGTAAAAGCTAAAGTATGCTACAGTATTTATATCAGTTCACTATAGTAACAGATGCTTCAACACTATAGTTTTGATAATAAATGATGCTCGCTTTGAACTGCAGCAGATCATCTTGAACATGTCTACACGCCTTAATGCTGGCTGGCTAAATGATGGCTGATTAGAAATTTGCATTTGCATTGTACCTAATAAAGTGGCCGGTGAGTGTATTTGAACATAAGTACATATATTCTAAAAGTTGGAAAATATATTTGTAATCCTCAATTTTCTCAATATTTTGAAATATGTGTTATTTATGACATTTATATACATATATAATTTTAAACTATATTTTTTCATGTGGGTTTTTGCATTTTTGATGTTAATTTAGGCTCAGATGTATTATCATTAATCTCATCTTCGTCACTAACCGCTGAGCCTCTAAGCTCTGCTACATGAAACTCTCTCTTCTCTCCACATATTCGACTAGCTCTTCCGTATATTTTGTCATGTGTGTTTCCTGGCTCTGGTGTTTCGCCATCGGCCGATCCCTCCTGAAGGACGTGTTTCTGCACGTCTGCATCTCTCCTGTGTTTCTGTCCTCTGTTTTCCCCCAGTGTAATGTTCTCTGAATTCCTCTGCTTGTTTCATCTCAGTGAATATTTGCTGGAGTCATTTGTCTCAGAGCACTTCATACACTCACTAATAAAATGTTCGCGTTCATCTTCAGTTATGGCGGCCTGTTTTCATTCCTGTGCTTTAAACTCATCTGTGACCCAGTGTATTTTACTAATAAACACACACACACACACTCTACTCTGTCAGCTCATCTTTGTTGAACACCCTTTAAAGTGTACTGTGTTTCTCTTCAGGCTAAACTGACTTCATTATGATTCATTCTGTGTTCTGGATTAATCATTTCCTCTGACTAAAACACACTTTCTGTCTTTTTACGTCTCTCCTGTTAGGGTTTCTGATCCTAAAATGTATTTAATGACATGCCACTTCTTATTAATGAGTTATTGTGAAAAAAAAATTCACCGTTCAAATGTTTCTAGCATTGTAGCATGTAATGGTATTTATTAATAATGACCAAATTAAAAAATAAATTAAATAAATAAATGGTATATATATATATATACATACATACAATTAAAAAAATTCTAATCATAATAGAAAATCTAATCATAATAGTTTTAATAACTCATCTCTAATAACTGGTTTATTTCCTCTTCTCCATGATGACAGCACATATATTAGTCTAGATATTCTTCAAGACACTAGTGTTCAGCTTACAGTGTCATGTAAAGGCTTCACTAGGGTAATTAGGGTAAAGTTAGGGTAATTAGGCAAGTCATTGTATAACAGTGGTTTGTTCTGGAGACAATCCAACACTAATATTGCTGAAGCCTTAACATGGCTTTAAAAAACAGCTGAAATAAAAGCTGCTTTGTCCTCATTAAATTGCAGGAAATTGTTAGACATCCATATCCTAATATCATGTATCATAACACAGCAAATGAAGTGGCAGAATGCAGCTGTACTGCTAGATAAAGCAGAGTCATCTGCATAACAATCATATGAAATACTATATTTTTGGAAATGTAGGCCAGGGAAAGCACATAAAGGGAAAACAGTAGTGATCCCAAAATGGATCCCTGGGGCACTCCCTAAAAGACAGACACTTTATCCTTTATTGAATATCAGCACGTCTAATCGGAGATCTCCTCTTCTTCTTCTAGTTTTTTGTGAGGGTCGTGCACTGAAAAACATTATTCGAAGATGATTCCTTGAATTTACTTAATTTTTTAAAGTTAAGTGGTTGTAAACAATTTGTTTATGCTGAATATAAACAAATAATATAAGTTGAACGTTACCACATTTAATTTGTTGGTTTAAATTCAACACAAATAAATAGTTTGCAACAATTTTGCAGAAAACATTTTTTTCAGTGTGTGTAGGCATGGGACTGTATAAGATTGTGACGGTATGATAACCTTGGATAAAAATATCACGGTTTTCTTTATCACAGTATTGTGGTTACTGCTCTAAAATATATTCTTTTCAAAAGTCTGGGGAAATTTATATTTTTTTTTTCCTTTGAAAACAATCTATTGTATTTTTTGAAAGATTTATAATATTTTGGCACAGTGAACATGTCAGGCTGAATAATTCAAATGAATCATTGGCTTCTGCTGTCTTCATTAGTTTCCAGAACACAGATTTTTTTACAATTTAAAACTGCATTTTTGGATTTTTTTTCCCGCTGGGGATACTGTTGTCCTAAAAACAAAACAAAAAAATGTAAATAAAAGAGTCTTATTCATACTTAAGGAACGGTATAAATTTTGGTGATTTTAAAACCTTGACTTTTCTAAACCGCGATATACCTTGAAAACGGTCATCGTCCATGCCTAGTCGTGTGGTGATGGTTCATGTTAATATTTGGTTCATGTTATTATTTTGTTTGTGTATTTGTGATATATATATATATATATATATATATATATATATATATATATATATTTATGAATATCAAATCACAATAAAAGTTATTAGATATTTATAAATATATAAAGATATACATTGAGGACATTGACCTGGACAGACTTGTGCATACATTTAGTATATATATATTTAGTATGTATATATATATTATAATATGAAAAAGTCCAGTATAAGTCTGAAATTTTATTTAAAACGGTCTTTAAATGCTCTTAAAAGTCCTGAATTTGACTTTTGACACCAGTAGGAAATCTGTTTATGTTTTATGGCTAATGTTCATGTAATAAGCAGGATAAAGTACATGCAGGATGGTTTAAAATATTTAGCGTTTAGAACTTTTATAAGTCTTTGTGGTCTTTAAAAGGTCGTAAAGTCTTAAATTTGACTTTGTGACACCAGTAGGAACCCTGTGTGTTTTGTGCTAGTATTCATATAATAAGCAGGATAAAGTACATCCAGGACGGTTGTTTTCTCAGAATAAACATTATTTAAGTCTATGTGGTCTTAAAAAGTCTTGCATTTGACTTTGTGAAACCAGCAGAACCCCTGATTAACAAGCTCCTGTATCTGCTTTATCTCTAATATATTGAATATCTGAGATGTGCTCTTCTCCTGCAGCTCTCAGTGAGGGTCGCGTGGTGAATGTGCCGGCCGGTCCTCTGGTCCATGTGGAGGGTCAGCCTGTCTCCATCCGCTGTGACGTCTCCAACTATGAGGGGCCGCGAGATCAGGATTTTGAGTGGTATCTGATGATGGCTGACAAAATGCTGCCGCTGGTCTCCACCTTTGACGGATCTTTTACCGATGCATCCATGAAGGACCGGGTCAACAGTCGAGACATCAGTTTCGTGAAGCTGAACGACGCAGCGGTGGAGCTGAAGTTCAAGAGCGTTCGGGCCACAGACAGCGGTGTGTATCGCTGCAGCACGCCCAGCACCGACTCCGTCATCAGCGGGAACTACAACGCAGACGTGGAGCTCAAAGGTCAGTCCACAGTGTAGTAAATAAAATAAAGGGTGTTAAATTTAATATATTTTTCTTTCATTAAAAACCCTACAAAAAGTACCGGTGAGAGAACCGTTAAAGTACTGAACCGATAAGTGCTATTGATAAAAGTACTAATACTGTTAAAACATTCACGATAACACCCCTACTCCTGTCCAAACAGCTCACAAACCTTGATTTTGCATTGAAGGTGTCTTGAAAGCAACAACTTTTTTGTTTGTTTTGTAAATCGGCTCATTTTACACTCCTCTACAGATAAACAGAGTTTTGGCATTTTTTTTAATCGATTCAGCTGATCTGGAGCACTTTTAGCTTAGCATAGCATAAATCAGTGAATTAGACCATCAGCATCTTGCTTAAATGTTGTTTGTCTAATTTTCCTGGTTAAAGCTGGACTCTTCTGTAGCTGCATACTGTACTAATAACTGCTAATTCTGGCAAGGATATTGTGCAGAGCCTGAAAATAGCCTCAGCTCCGCACCTAGGCTGCGTTCCAATCCACTTTTAGACACACTCACTGGCTTATCTGATATCTCTGAGATGTGTGTGATGATCTAGCAGGCTTTATAGAGTTAAACAGGCTTGCGGTCTAAAAGTAAGGGGATGTTCTGCAAGACCTGAAGCGCGACAGAAGCACAAAGACGGATCTGTTCTGCAGACGAGAGTGAAGGTGTGTTTGGCTTTTCAGGAGTGTGTGCTGATTTAATCTACGCTGGAGACGAGCAGATGGAACAAAACAGAGATAAAAATGAAAATATTACATAAAAACATCTGATGATTGTGATCAGGATGTTTTGTTTAAGAGTTTGATGGTTACTTTAGGAAATGAGTTGCTAATTATGTTATTAAAGCTGTATTTAAATGACTTAATTACACGTAGACAATAACAAATGTGTCTGTCAAAACACAAAACTTTCAATGTTGTATTCACTATATTTTAACTGGAATCATTGCTTTCTTTATGCAAGACATGCTTTGAATCATGCATTTCACATTTGTAGACTTTATTTTTTATTTTCAGGTTCTGCAGGTTGCAATGTCCCGAATTTTGCCAGCCAATTGTGATGGAGTGTTTTGGTTAGAATTTCCCCAACCATCGCAGAGCCCAGGGGAACAGATTGAGTGCTCCGACTTTGCCCCCCCTGGTCCATTTTAAACATGTTAAAACTAAAAATTAATAAATAATTAAAATGAAAATAACTAAGCTAAATAATACAACAAAATACCACACTGTTATAACTCATACAAGTTTGAAAAGGAACAGGAAGAAGCTCTTATTTAATCCTAGCCTATCTCCACTACACATCAATGATAAATAACAAAACATGACAATAAGTAATAAAACAATCCATAACAATGCATTATAATCTCCAACAAAACCCATCAAATGTAAATTAATATTCTGGATTCTCATTATCATTCAATTTTCTAACCAAATAAAGCCCAGGAACACCAATCAAACCTGTTCTCCATTTACATTCTTGAGCTCCAGATCTAATCTGCTGCACAGTTTGCCTCCACACACACACACACACACACACACACACACACACACACACACACTTCTCAATGCTGTATGAACATGAGGAAGAGGAAGTTACACTCTTTTCTAAAACTATATCTATTTTCTTCATTAATAAGCCATTTATGAATGTGAGGAGGAAGTAACCTGAAGACAGGCAAAAACACCAAGAGCTGTAATGGCAGATCAACTGCATTCTCCATTGAAACGCTGCATAAGCCTCTCATATCTCCGTCTGTTTTAAGCTGCAAATATTAGGATCACATACAGTTAAAGTCAGAATTTTTCACCCCCCTTTGATTTATTTCTTTTTTCCTATTTTTTATATTTCCCAAATGAACAGATTGAGGAAATGTTCACAGTGTGTCTGATAATATTTGTTCTTCTGGAGAAAGTCTTAATTTTTTTATTTCGGCTAGAATAAAAGCAGTTTTTAATTGTTTAAACACCATTTTAACGTCAATATTATTAGCCCCTTTAAGCTATTTTTTTGTTGATAGTCTACAGAACAAACCATCGTTATACAATAACCTGCCTAGTTACCCTAATTACCCTAGTGAAGTGTCACTTTAAGCTGAACACTAGTGTCTTGAAGAATATCTAGTCTATTATTATTTACTGTCATCATGACAAACAGAAAATAAATCAGTTATTAGAGATGAGTTATTAACACTATTATGATTAGAGATGTGTTGGAGAAATCTGCTCTCTGATAAACAGAAATTGGGGAAAAAATAAACAAGGGGGTGAATAATTCTGACTTGATTATAATAATTCAGATATGATTATACACTGTACATTGTGGGCTCTTGCTCTCCATATTCTGCTGTTTTTCAGTCATTTAAAACCCGCATGCCTCTGTCAGAGCTACAGTTCAGTCATGTTTACATTTATCTTGTGGATATTCCACAGAGGTTTAGTCATTAGTGACGGCGTTGCATCGCGTAAGTGTCTGCTTTTATATTTGCTGTTGGTTTGTTTTACTTATTAATATTTACTGTTAGAGACATCTGTTCATTCACTTCTGCTGTTTATACTTTGCATTTCAGTTTATACTTTAATTAGAATAGAAACTGTATAAAATTAGTACAATCTCACTGACAGTTATAGGTGCTGTGGATTTTTGTGGGTCAATGATGCTCGTGTTCAGCACAATCCAGAGATTTCTCCTTTCTGGATGATCTGAGGGATTTCTATGAAGGTCAATCAGCAGCAAACCTCGAAAGCTTGCAAATCTCCATGTAATATAGCGCATTTATTGTGTATGGCCATACACCCAAAGCGCTTCACAATCATGAGGGGGGTCTCTCCACACCACCACCAGTGTGCAGCATCCACTTGGATGATGCGACGGCTGCCACAGGACAGTGCTTCACCACACACCAGCTATAGGTAGAGTGGAGAGACAGTGATAGAGCCAATTCAGTGGAAGGGGATGATTTGGAGGCCATGATCATGAGGGACGAATGAGGGACACCGGGGTTACATCCCTGCTCTTTCCCGAGAAGTGCCATGGGTTTTTTAATGAGCACAGAGAGTCAGGACCTCGGTTTAACGTCTCATCTGAAAGACGGTGCCCACTGACAGTGTTGTGTCCCCTTCACTATACTGGGGCATTAGGACCCACACAGACCACAGGTTGAGCGCCCCCTGCTGGCATCACTAACACCACTGCCAACAGCAACCTAGTGTTCCCTAGTGGTCTCCCATCCAGGTACTGACCAGGCTCAGCCCTGCTTAGCTTCAGTGAGTAACCGGTCTTGGGCTGTAGACATGGCTGTGGCATGTGAGAACTTGTGATGATGATATTTGTATGTGTAGATTGAAATTTACACTCGCGGCTCTGATGCACATGTCTAAATCTCTGTATTTGTACACTGTACATCAAAACAGATGTTTTTAAGTTGCAGATTTATAGCTGTGTATTTGTGAAATGACAATAACAAATGCACAAGGACAGACACAAATGTGTACGGCAACTTTACCTGAACACTACAGTATATTAAAGGTCCATTGTACAACCACAAGTCGGCACTTACAGCCTTTCAGGTTAGGCAGTACTAGAACAAATGCTCGAGCTCTGGCGTGTGGTTATTAGCAATCTTTTTGCACAACAATTATGCATTTTTTGGCTAAAAAGGAACGAAATCTCTCAGCCCATGAGTTGGCAGTCAATGAGAGCTCATATTCCCACAGCAGTGTTCCACTAATGGTGTGACGTCATGTGAACATGATCAATTTCTTGCTTTATTATTGCAGTATTTACTTATTTAAGGGTGGTACAGCTCTTAACACTGGTGTCCTCTGTTGTGTGCAGTGATCGGGGACAGTCTGAAAGTGTCTCCGCTGATCCCCAAGGCAGCGGTGTCTGCAGGAGAGTCAGTGGAGCTCCAGTGCAACACCACCCGCAGCTTCACTGAGCACACCTTCCTCTCCGTCAGCTGGTCTGTCGGGAGAGCCAACAGCAGCGGGGTTCTGGAGCAGATCCTCACCTTCGGTCCTGACGACAAGATCCAGACTGGCAGCAACTACACGCAGCGGTACGCAGACGGAGGCCTGCAGCTGGACCTGCGGGGAGGGGGCTTCTACGGGCTGGTGCTAAAGGCGACGACGCCAGCCGACCGCGGGAAGTACGTGTGTACGGCACAGGAGTGGGTGAGGCAAGGCCGCACCTGGAGGAAGATCCTGGAGAGATCTGAAGACATGGGGAAGGTGGAGGTGACGGCCACAGGTCAGATATACAGCGCATTATTGCATCACTTTTTCTGGGTTTCTTTAATCCGGCAGCCTTAGTGAAGCAACGTCTGTTCTAAACCTTAATAAAGTCATAATTAGTGATCTCTTCAGTAATATTTCTGCAGTATGATGCATTTAGTTCAAGTTCATTTATTTATAAAGCACGCTTAAAAACTGCCAAAGGACTGACCTAACAAAAATATTTGTTTTTTGCTCGTTAGTTAAACTACTTATTTAAAATGAGCTGAAACAACACAATTCTTGAGATTTCATTGGGGCTACTTAATTTTTTCTGTTCAATATATACAATAATTTGTCAAAAGTGTAAAGTAAACTTAATCAATGTGTGTTGGGACAACATGAATGAATTGTGTGGAGCCCTGCATTTTTTACAGTGCAAAGTGCTGTACATAAGACTAACACGAGTAATATTTAGTAAAAGTATAGAGATGGTGATTAAAAACGGAGAAATAACAGCTATAGACAGAACCATTAGTGTAATATGAGTAAGCCAAACTGTGCCATGTTCAGTGTCTGTGCAGAGTTCAGTGTGTCTGTCAATCATTGATCAGTTTTGTCATGTAAAGCAGAAGGATTTGCCTTAGTGAGACTGCTGATTATTACAGCAGAGCAGCAGAAACTAAACTCGCTTTCACTTTAGTTTAAAGGGCCCCTATTCTACCACTTTTTGAAAGATTTAAGATCAGACTTTTGTGTCTCCAGGATGTGTCTGTAAAGTTTTAAATGTTTACAGCTCAAATCAATGTTTAGTGTCTAGTAGTTTAGCAAGCATGCAATACTCTTGATAATGTACAGTACATCTCTTTGGTTGTTATCACAGAATAAACCCTTCAGTCTGGTGGTGAACCTGTCAGGCTTTGTTCTGCCAGATCAACTGACCGGATGTGCATTATTTCTGACTTAACACTTAAAAGTGCTTAAAGTATTGAGTTTATTCAAAAAAACTTCATGTGAAGAAAGAGACTGCAATAGACAATGCATGGCTTCAAACTCTAAGTCTGCAGATATTAATAGACAGGTGTGTGTGGATTAGTCAAGAGCTTGTGGAAGAGTGTTTGTTATCAGCTTGGGAAAAGGCAAAGACACTCATATGCTTCATCCAGTAAAGCTGAGACTTTAATAAGCAAAACTCACAGGGAATTATATAGAGGAGATGCTTTCTCTGCAAAATGTCGCTAAATTTCTCCTGCTGTCTTCCGACAATATTTTCAATCCAGTCATGGTCATTGTAACTCACACACCTCATATTTGTTTTCAAAAACATTTTTTTTAAATGCCTAACCCAGCCTGCGGTAGTATTGTGGTCACATTATTTAAAAATTATTAATTTATTTTTTGTATTTTTTATTTTTCTAATTGTAATGAAGTAGTCTCTATTTAATAGATTGTATGTGATGCTATATATATACACACACATATATATACACACACACACACACACACACACATATATATATATATATATATATATATATATATATATATATATATATATATATATATATATATATATATGTATACACACACACATATACACACACACACATATATATATATATATATACACACACACATATATATATATATATACACACACACACATATATATATATATATATATGTATACACACACACATATATACACACACACATATATATATATATATATATATATGTATACACACACACATATATACACACACACACATATATATATATATATATATATATATATATATATATATATATATATATATATATATATATATATACGATTATTAAGTTTTATACCATAGATAACCACAGTTATTGAAATTCTATAATGTTAAATAAACCCATGCTGTACTAGATCAGTATTTTATTAGTGGATACTACAGATTTTTGGTATTGGGTCAGTTCAAAAACATAATGTTAATGCATCTCAAATAACTGCACTGCACAACAAGGTAAATAGACTGATCAATAAAAGCTATTTGTTTTTTAATATTTAAAAAAATAATAGAGAAATATCCAGAAATATACTCCATTACTCCTTCTTTAAACGTTTCTCTCTTGATTGAAGTCTGTCATCATTTACTCGTCCTTCACTTGTTGTTGTAAACCTCTTTCATTTTCTAATTCATGTTAGAAATAAAGAAGATCTTGTAAGGAATGTTTGACACCGGCAGTTTTTGTTGGAATGCAACTGAAAGTTTACTGATTTCCAACATTCTTCAATATGTTTTCATTTGTGTTAAACCTGACAAATAAAGTCTAACAGGTTTAGAACCACTTGATAGTGAGTAAACGTTTATTTTCTTTAGTGCGCTGACTCTTTAACTGTCTCTCGATTGCGTGTTTCCACATCTCTCCTCTTCTGCTGTGTGTGTGTGTGTGTGTGTGTGTGTGTGTGTGTGTGTGTGTGTGTGTGTGTGTGTGTGTGTGTGTGTGTGTGTGTGTGTGTGTGTGTGTGTGTGTGTGTGTGTGTGTGTGTTTTCCTCTTGTTTGCTGCTGGTGATAGAATCATGTCAAGGATTTGTGTGCAACATGCAGCTTTGTTTTTGAAGTCTTCTCCCTCCACGTTAAATGTTAATCAGTGCTTTGCATATTCTAACTGTGCTGCGGATTGGGTTTGGGGAGTTTCCATGTAGCAGGATATTCAAATCTCGGCTAAACAATGTGCAGCTTTTTCCTCCTGTACACTAATGACTGTCCTTTTCCTAACACTGAACAGTAAGAGTGTATTTGTTAACATTATTTAATCATTAGGTAACATGCACTAACTATACATCAGCAGCAGTATTATTAACATTAGTACCTCAGCAGTGTTTCTTATTGTGTGTTGGTTCGCAGTAAGTGCCCTTATTATGCTAGTTTAATGGCTGCTGATGTTGTTTTGGTGGTGTACTGCAGCTCGTTTACATCCTTGTTGTTCAATGATCTCTGTAAACTCCACCTTACAGTGAACCTGCTCTGCTCTGATTGGTCAGATGTTTAGCTCAGTCTGTTGTGATTGGTTGAAACCAAGCACTGACTATCATTATGTTCAGCAGTGAAATGAACAGTCATGAAGGAGTCACTTTTACTGTATAAATTCAAGCGTTAGCTCTCATCTCTAGGAATTGTACATGATTTGATGTGGTTTTTCATCTTTCTGATGGATTAACTAACATGTGTTTATTAATCGTTATATTGACATGACAGACAGTTCATGTCTGACTAAGCATAACGAGGACACTGTCAGATAGAGGTTTTTAGTAATTACTTGAGTTATTTTCAACATTAGCATTTCCATCCAACGACAGGAGGTCGTCCCGGACGCGCCTCCAAGTGTAACCCACTATTCCTACTCAGGGCTGGAGCAAGCTGAACTGCCGCTCTAGGCAAAGGACGGTCATGCCGCTGAACCCAAAAGTGAAAACCGAAGTGACCGGTTATCAAATTGAATCTCGTGGACATAACTGAGGGCGCGGGTGTTGAGGGAAGTGTCGTGGATGCTGCCCTCTCTATTCTGCTGCCCTAGGCGCGAACATAACTGAGGCGGCGGGAGGGTGAGGGAGGTATCGTGGACATAATGCGGGTGTTGAGGGAAGTGTCGCAGATGCCGGCCTCTCTATTCTGCCGCCCTAGGCAGTCGCCTAGGTCACCTCAATGGACGCACCGGCAATGTTCCTACTGCACCCAACCCGGTCTTAGTGGGGATTGAACTGGCTATTCTTTGTATGGGAGTCGGTTGCTCTAACAAGGAGGCTAAAACCATGGCCTCTAGCATCTGTCACTAGAGCACCTTTTGAGGTCAGAGGAGTGAGGTTTACCTGCACAGCACTTCACTAGCTGGCCTCCGTTACAAAAGAATTGTAGATTTTCTTCACTTGAGATCAGAGGTTTAACATTAGAGAACTGTCGCAGTGTGTGTCTGACTGTACAAACAGGTGTTTCTTCTCCAAGCACACAACAGCTGAGTGCATTACATGACTGTGGTGGTCAGGATTAAGCTGATCTGAGGTCAGATACACAGCAGCTCAACAATGACAGCTGAAGACTGAGGAATGTGTCCTTCCCCTCATACCAGAGAGAGCACAGTCCTCTACTCATTACCTCTGCGGACACTGAGAATGGCTGATAAACTTTAAATAATCAGTCTTCCTCATTCTGATTAACACTTGTGTGCTGTTGGGTTGTTTTCATCCACTCCGGGCAGATTTTGAGTATTAATTTGGCCACAACTTTCTCTGTGTTTCAGATAGCGGAATGATTTTTGCTGACAAATCTTAGTTTGGCACATATTTTGGCAAAATGCTTTGAAAATGTTGAAAAATCCAACAATACACTCTTTGCAAATGTGCTCCCCTTCACAGTGGCTTCTTCTACAGCACTAAACTACATTTCTGTGCCCCATATTTGCTCTAGTTTATCAGGATGATTTAGTTCTCTTTTATTTCTCATTCAACCAAACCAGTGAAACTCTTTATTCTTTATAAATGCTTTATGACGAGCCAGTTTCTGTGCCTGATGATCGGGTTGTCATGGTCCTAAGCTTCGACCACCACCCGTTCTACAGTGCACCGGCACCTGCAGGTAGTAGGTCCTTTAAGTCTGAGGCCATGGTGCTCCACCGGAAAAAGGTGGTTTGCCATCTCCAGGTTGGAGGGGTGGAGAAGTTCAAGTATCTTGGGGTTTGTTTACGAGTGAGAGAAGCATGGAACATGAGATTGACAGGCAACAGGCGGCAGCAGTAATGTGGTCAATGTATTGTGGTAATATGATTGTGGTACAGAAGGAGCTGAGCCGAAAGGCAAAGCTCTTGATTTACTGGTCATGTTCCTTCTAGCATCTATGGGCATGAGCTTTGGGTTTGGAGCAAAGGACAAGATCTCTGATACAAGCGGGCGGAATAAGTTTCCTTCGAAGAGTGGCAGGGCGCACCCTTAAAGATCGTGTGAGGAGCTCTGTCATCTGGGAGGAGCTCGGAGTAGAGCCACTGCTCCTCCACATTGAAAGAAGTCAGCTCAGCTGGCTCAGGCATCTGTTTCGGATGCCTCTTGGACACCTACCTAGGGAGGTTTTCCAGGCATGTCCCACTGGGAGTAGGCCATGGGGAAGACCCAGGACACTGGATGGACTATGTCTCTCAGCTGGCCTGGGAATGCCTCGGGATCCCCCAGAGGAGTGGGAGGAAGTGTCTGAGAAGAGGGAAGTCTGGGGTTCTCTCCTAAGACTGCTGCCTTCGCTACCCAGCACCGGAAAAGTGAATGAAAATGAATGAATGTTTTATTCACAAATGTTTTATGCCATATTCCATTCTCAATAAGCATCTTTGGATGGAACCAGCAACTGAGTGTTGATTTACTCCATGTGTATGTGTGTCATTATTCAATTCAAGTTTGTTTGTATAGCACTTTTCACAACAATTATTGCTTCAAAGCAGCTCTACAAAAGGTGCAGATTATTGCATCACAAGCAAATTTGGAAAGGATAAGATTATTAGTTACGATAACTTTATTAGTTACTAATAACGTTAATTAACTTACATAAACATAATTATATAAATGTAGTTAACCTGCAGTCATATATAGGTGGCTCTTGAACGAGAGATATTAATGTCTAGTGCTATAAATAAAAATAACATAGAAACTTTGCTTTATTAGAAAGATAGGTCTTAATCTAGCTTAAAACTGAGAGAGTGTGTCTGAGCCTCAGGCATTATCAGGAAAGCCATTCCAGAGTTTAGGAGCCATATATGAAAAGGCTTGACCTCTTTTAGTAGACCTTGCTACTCTGAGTTACTACTAGAGGCCCTGAGTTTTGAGATCTTAATGATTACTGTTCCTTAGATCTGCAGTACACAGTGAGTCTGGTTGTGTCTGTGAGTCCTCAGATCTGATGTGTTTGTGTGTGTTTGTTCCTCAGATCTGCAGTATACAGTGAGTCTGGCTGTGTCTGTGAGTCCTCAGTCTGCCGGTGAGCCCACAGAGCTGCGCTGTCAGGTTCAGCAGCTCCTTTACCTGCAGAACGGGCGTCTGGGTGTCTCCTGGGTTTATTCCACCCGCGGTGGAGCAGCAGAGGTGCAGGCGGAGGTCATGGTGGCAACGCTGGACCAGCAGGGTGCTCTGACCGCAGGAGCGCAGTATCAGCAGAGATTGGATCGCGGAGACATCGCTCTGACCAGAACACCAGACAACACCTTCATCCTGCGGATCCTGCAGACTGCAGACGCCGACATGGGCTGGTACTCCTGCAGGGTCACTGCCTGGACACCAGACCGGAAGGGCGTATGGACAAACTCCAAAGAGGTGCAGTCCAGTCCTGTGGCCGTTCAGTGGACACCCAAGAGTACGTATATCTGATGCTTTTATCAGTCAAACATTGAGTGCATTTACATGGACACCAATACTCTGATTTTAATACGATTAGGACAATACTCTGATTAAGAGTCCATCGTTTGATGATCCCATAATACCACATGAGAGGATTCTTGAATGGGAGTGAAGTGAGCCAACTAGGTCACATTATCCTGACAAATGGTGGATGTAGTGAATCCCAGTACCATTAATACTATGCAGAACAGGGGTCACCAATCTCAGTTCTGGAGGGCCGGTTTCCCTGCAGGGTTTAGCTGCAACTTGCCTCAACACACCTGCCTGAATGTTTCAAGTATACCTAGTTAGACCTTGATTAGCTTGTTCAGGTGTGTTTGATTAGGGTTGGAGCTAAAATCTGCAGGACACCGGCCCTCCAGAAACAAGTTTGGTGACCCCTGATGTAGAACATACTTTTCTAATAATCGTGTAGTAAATTCAAATGTAGTACCTTTTTAAGCTGTAGGCATTTTCAGACACGGCCCACATGTGTTCTGTGTTTTTAAAAACAGTTTGATGATGCTGGATTTGTGCGTGTTTTCCAGCACCAGTTTTGTCAGTCGCAGCCCACCGTGTGAGGGAAGCATCCAGCGCTGGATCCACCTTTGAGATGACCTGTCAGGTGAGCGGACAGAATCTGCAGGACTCCAGCTACTCGGTGTTGATCCGCTTTGAGGAGTCTGGCGCCGGGGGCAAATCACGGAAAGTGCTGTCTCTGAGCCCGGACTCAGTGCTGCAGCTGGAGGAGTGGAGCGAGCCCGGACGCATCGACAGCGTGGTTCTGGAGAAGAGCGGACCGGCTGAGTACCGCTTCCGACTGTACGGAGCCCAGGTCAGCGACAGAGGGTTTTACTGCTGTGATGTCACCGCCTGGACACGACACCAGAGCCAGGACTGGACCAAAATCATCAGCGCAGAGTCCAACAAGATCCAGGTCGACTTTGTGCACACAGGTACCATATGCAGTGAGCTTTAAATGATTCAGGCAGATAAAAGCTATTGACATGTTAAAAACGCCCATTTCCTGCTGACACTGTTGAGCATGTTCTTGAATACTGCTTCTAGTAAGAATTGAGCACTAGTTCCTGATTTACTCACAACCCTCATTTACCACACATTGTCATTCAAGACCTTAATTTCTGTCTCTCTTGTCTAAAGTGCTGTCTGTTAGTACTGTTAAACACTAGCCTAGAGCGCCGTGTGCTGTTAAACACTAGCCTAGAGCGCCCTCTGCTGTTAAACTCTAGCCTAGAGCGCCTTCTGCTGTTAAACTCTAGCCTAGAGCGCAGTCTGCTGTTAAACTCTAGCCTAGAGCGCAGTCTGCTGTTAAACACTAGCCTAGAGCGCCGTCTGCTGTTAAACACTAGCCTAGAGCGCCCTCTGCTGTTAAACACTAGCCTAGAGCGCCTTCTGCTGTTAAACTCAAGCCTAGAGCGCAGTCTGCTGTTAAACTCTAGCCTAGAGCGCCGTCTGCTGTTAAACACTAGACTAGAGCACCGTCTGCTGTTAAACACAAGCCTAGAGCGCCGTCTGCTGTTAAACACTAGCCTAGAGCGCCTTCTGCTGTAAACTCTAGCCTAGAGTGTCGTCTGCTGTTAAACACTAGCCTAGAGCGCCGTCTGCTGTTAAACTCTAGCCTAGAGTGCAGTCTGCTGTTAAACTCTAGCCTAGAGCGCAGTCTGCTGTTAAACTCTAGCCTAGAGCGCCGTCTGCTGTTCAACACTAGCCTAGAGTGCCGTCTGCTGTTAAACACTAGCCTAGAGTGCCGTCTGCTGTTAAACTCTAGCCTAGAGCACCGTCTGCTGTTAAACACAAGCCTAGAGCGCAGTCTGCTTTTAAACTCTAGCCTAGAGCGCAGTCTGCTGTTAAACTCTAGCCTAGAGCGCAGTCTGCTGTTAAACTCTAGCCTAGAGCGCCGTCTGCTGTTCAACACTAGCCTAGAGTGCCGTCTGCTGTTAAACACTAGTCTAGAGCACCGTCTGCTGTTAAACACTAGGCTAGAGCAGCGTCTGCTGTTAAACACAAGCCTAGAGCGCAGTCTGCTGTTAAACTCTAGCCTAGAGCGCTGTCTGCTGTTAAACTCTAGCCTAGAGTGCCGTCTGCTGTTAAACACTAGCCTAGAGCGCAGTCTGCTGTTAAACTCTAGCCTAGAGCGCAGTCTGCTGTTAAACTCTAGCCTAGAGCGCCGTCTGCTGTTCAACACTAGCCTAGAGTGCCGTCTGCTGTTAAACACTAGTCTAGAGCACCGTCTGCTGTTAAACACTAGGCTAGAGCAGCGTCTGCTGTTAAACACAAGCCTAGAGCGCAGTCTGCTGTTAAACTCTAGCCTAGAGCGCCGTCTGCTGTTTAACACTAGCCTAGAGCGCCCTCTGCTGTTAAACACTAGCCTAGAGCGCCTTCTGCTATAAACTCTAGCCTAGAGCGCTGTCTGCTGTTAAACACTAGCCTAGAGCGCCGTCTGCTGTTAAACACTAGCCTAGAGCGCCCTCTGCTGTTAAACACTAGCCTAGAGCGCCTTCTGCTGTTAAACTCTAGCCTAGAGCACAGTCTGCTGGTAAACTCTAGCCTAGAGTGTCGTCTGCTGTTAAACTCTAGCCTAGAGCGCCATCTGCTGTTTAACACTAGCCTAGAGCGCAGTCTGCTGTTAAACTCTAGCCTAGAGCGCAGTGTGCTGTTAAACTCTAGCCTAGAGTGCCGTCTGCTGTTAAACACTAGCCTAGAGCGCAGTCTGCTGTTAAACTCTAGCCTAGAGTGCCGTCTGCTGTTAAACACTAGCCTAGAGCGCAGTCTGCTGTTAAACTCTAGCCTAGAGCACCGTCTGCGATTAGAAATAGGTTGAGAAATGATTCAGTAGTGAGTCGCAAGTGTTTCTGAACAGATATTGATTGGTTTTCTCTGATGTTGTCTCTCTACAGCTCTATTAAGTGTCCAAGTCGCAGCTTCAAACAACTCTAAGTGCTCCCAGTCGATGAATAAAGGTCCTGTTTAGCAGAAAAATAAATGACGGCTCGTTTGATTAATGAAGTAATCGCGAGACCCTAAGAAGAGCGTTTGTGAGTGTGTGTTCAGCGCTGAGCTCATGTTAACCTCTCACACACACTCTGCTTCTGGATGACTGGATCTCTGTAGTTCCTCCCTCAGGCCAGATTCCTGCTGTCCGCTGAGAAACGCTCTTTTCTTCGTCTTTTACTTGCATCGCTTTAAACTTCACACACTCGCCCACAGTCTGGAAGCTGTCCCAAATGCAGTTAAAAAAAATCTAAATAGCATTTATTTGTTCATTCTCTCTTCATAAAGAGTCTTTTAATATGTCATCAAATGATATATATATATACACACACATATATATATATATATATATATATATATATATATATATATATATATATATATATATATATATATATATATATATATATACACACACATATATATACAACAGTGTATATGAAGGGTTCGGATGCAAAAACCTCTAAATGCCATCTGAAGATTTCTTCATTAATGAGCATTTTTATCAGGCTCCTGTGTGTAAGCCTGTGTAATTTCAATAATAACCCATACAGGAAACCTAACGTTAAAGATAGTTAAAGCTGAAAGGCGGGGCCCACAATTAACGCCCCACCTCCTATTAGAAATAAAACTCTGCAGCATCTTCCAGTTCACACAGACTTTAAATGTTCAGAAATGAGTCATTTAAGAGGACTTTTAAAGACTGTGTGTGTTTCTCCCTTCACAGGTCCAGTTTTCAACATATCCATTCAGTCAGACGCAAATGATGTTTTACTGGGAGACACAGTCCAGATGAAGTGCTCCGTCTCCATCCTCAACGCCTCTCCAAACACCGGCAAGTACTGACTTCAGTCCCGCTTATGTTATCATGAACGTTATTCAGTAAACTGTGGAGTATTGTAGTGGAATATACTCTATAGTTGTAGAAAAATACAGTACTGGGTCATTTGTTGATATTACTATACCTGTGGTGTTACCATAGCAACTGTAGAATCACAACAACAGATCAATTACTGTAGTTTTTGTTTCCATGGCAACTGTAGAATCAACACAACAGATTCATTACTGTAGGTGTTGTTACCATAGCAACTGTAGAATCACCACAACAGATCAATTACTGTAGTTGTTGAGTTACCATAGCAACTGTAGAATCACCACAACAGATCAATTACTGTAGTTGTTGTTACCATGGCAACTGTAGAATCACCACAACAGATCAATTACTGTAGTTGTTGAGTTACCATAGCAACTGTAGAATCACCACAACAGATCAATTCAAAATTATTTTCATAGTGGATTTTTAACAGAGCAAGAACATCATTTTCGACTGAAGAATATCTTTCTTTGAGTTGTGGCTGGAATATACATATATATATATATGTGTAAAAACTGCTGTGGGTGATATTATTAGTGCCCTTAAGACATATTTATTACAAAAATATTGTCCAGTTGTTGTTCATGACTTGCCTAGTTAAGCCTTTTTAATGTTCTTGTGTGTCTTTTAAAGTTGCATTTATCTGATCTAGGTTGACATTAACGCGTTGTAACAGTGTTTGGTATCCTCCAGATACCCTTTAGGGTCACTGTATGTTTATTTTGCTACATTACAGCAGTGGTTCCTAAAGTGGAGGTCGTGAGACAATGACAGGGGTCTCTTGGTTATTTCCTAAATCCAATAAATTATATTAAACTATTACAATTAGCATATTTTAACCCACAGTAGATAAAAATAGTAGTTATAGTAGTAAAAACAACAACATGCAAATGAACAGCCATCAGACATTAGGTTATTTCTTTCATATTTGGTGTGTTTACGTTACATTAACAACACAGCAGTAGCGTCAGCCACAGCAGATTGATTTTAAAGCAGCAGATTTAACGTCCTGACACCTTTATTGCAACCAAATACATTAAAAATAAATCCAGCACACGTCAGGATATTGAGAATGATCTCCGAGTGGTGGTCTCCAAAATTACACCAAGAATATCTTTATGCTGAAAACATCGTCCACCATTCTCTTTAGCTGAGGTTAATATTGAATTAAATTAATAAATGACTATATAAATGGTATGATTGTTAGACTGTTGCACTTTTTTTGTGTTGTCAATATCCTCGTATTTATAGAGGCCTATTGTTGTGTTGTATTATTGAGGTTTGTATATTTACAACCACCTCTGAGGAATTTGTGGGTCTCGAGTAGCTGGCATTTTTATTTTAGGGGAATAAAAGTTTGGGAAGTCCTGCATTACAGCACAGCACAGGTCTATATGATGTGGTGTATGTATCTCTAGTTTCAGTGAGATTCTTCCTCGGTGAGCTAAAGTCTCGCATTCATCTGAAGCATAGATGCAAACCGGGAACAGAATCCTAAAAGTAGCCTGGTGCTTTCTCAAGAGCTTGAATAATTTAGACACTCTGTACGCCGCTTTTTTGTTGGAGTGTCTTTCAGCTGTTTGTCTTGATCTGCTCTGCTTGTTTCAGCATGTTTTATTATCAGGATCTGTGTTGAACTTCTTGATGAACGCTTGTGTATTCTGCTTATTCATAGTGGCTTCTTCAGAAGAGCTGTATAGTGGGTGTGGATTATTATTTTGCGGTCGTCCTAAACTGCTGTAATTCTCTCTGTTTAGTGACGATTGCCTGGACTTTGTGCTCTGAGTCACGTCCGGCGTTTTGACTCTCTCTTCTCTAATACTGAACGCTCGGTTTGCTGAGGAGGGAGATCCAGCTATTCCTATATGTTGATTGATTATGGGAAAAATGATCATCACTATTGCTGTGGTCAATAATAGGGCTGCAGAATATATCGTTTTGGCATCAATTATATCTCAATGTGTGAATACGCAATAGCCACATCGCAGGGTGTGCAATGTGCAGTCAGGATTGTAGTTGACCAGGTACAACAGTTCAAACACATTCATTCATTCATTCATTGCAGCTGGATGAGGATCCATTGCGTAAAAACAAATGATGGATAAGTTGGCGGTTCATTCCTCTGTGGTGATACCAGATAAATAAAGGGACTAAGCTGAAAAGAAAATAAATAAATTAATTAATGAATCCAAAAAATGTTTAATTCTCTTCTGAAAAAATCACAAAATTGCAGAAATTTTAATATAGCAATAAGCATTTTTTCCAATATAATGAAGCCCTTGTCAATATTGTAGTTGCTATTATTTGAAATAGTTATAAGTGGGTCATATGACCTTTCTGTCTGTCTGTCTGTCTCTCTTTCTGTTCATCTCTTTCTTTCTGTTTCTCTTTAAATAAGGTCACTATGACATCTTCACATTACAGAGATCAGGACATTTCACAATTCTCAGAACCAGTCAGATGTAACTATAAACAAAGTTAAAAAAACAAAGAAACAAAAAGTGCTCATAATAAAAATATAATAATAAAATGTGCTTCAAGCAAACCTGTTTGAGTTTCTTTCTTCTGTTGAACACAAAGGAAGATATTTTGAAAAATGATGAAAACCTTTCACTTCTATTGTTCATTCATTCGTTCATTCATTTTCTTGTCGGCTTAGTCCCTTTATTAATCCAGGGTCGCCACAGCGGAATGAACCGCCAACTTATCCAGCATGTCTTTACGCAGCAGATGCCCTTCCAGTCGCAACCCATCTCTGGGAAACATCCACACACACACACACACACACACTAATTCACACTCATACACTACAGTCAATTTAGCCTACCCAATTCACCTGTACCGCATGTGTTTGGACTGTGGGGGAAACCGGAGCACCCGGAGGAAACCCATGCGAAGGCAGGGAGAACATGCAAACTCCACACAGAAACACCAACTGACCCAGCCGAGGCTCGAATCAGCAACCTTCTTGCTGTGAGGCGACAGCACTACCTACTGCGCCACTGTGTCGCACTTGTATTGTTGGAAAAACAAATACTACGGAAGTCACTGGTTACACATTTTCAGCATTCTTCAAAATATCTTCTTTTTCAGGAGAATGAAAAACCATAGAGATTAAAACTCACGTGAGGGAGAGTAAATGATGAGGTCATTTTTGTGTTTGTGTGAGCTGTCCCTTTAAGACGCGATGTAAAAGTGTGGTGTTACTGTATGTTTGCTCCAGGAGATGCAGAGAGCTGATCTGGAGTCAGCGGTTTCATGTTGAGTAACAGCAAACACAGAGCTGCAGGCACACACAGACACGCATACAAAACACACACACACACGTGTCACAGATGCATGTTCACACAATGCTCACACTTAAACACACACAAACCAGAGGTGTTTTATTCCTGCTGCTTTTATCCTGGTTCAGAAGAGGTCTGTTTCCCCCTGCGGCAGCTGTTTCTGTGTGTCGTGTGTTTCTGGAAAACAGATCCTCAGGGAGTCTCTTCACTTACAGGACTTGCACAAACCCAAACACATCACATATGTTCAATTCATCTTTATTTCTATAGCGCTTTTACAGTGTAGTGTTTTACCATATCACCCCAATCCTCCTTACTCTGGCTGCTGTTAAGTTTTGTATTGATTTAAAAACATATATACTTCTTACCTGTAAAGCTTTAAATATTCGAGCTCCTGTTTATCTAACAAACCTCCTGTCTTGCGACAATCCAACCCGCTCTTTAAGATCTCTAAATTCAGGGCTTCTGAGAGTACCCAGAATAGCAAAGTCCACTAAAGGAGGTCGAGCCTTTTCATGTATGGCTCCTAAACTCTGGAATAGTCTTTCTGACAATGTGCGAGGCTCAGACACACTCTCTCAGTTCAACACTAGATTAAAGGCCTGTCTTTTTAGTAAAGCATACACTCAATGCAGCTCAAGGCACACAGGTGAGCTGGCTTGACAACCACCTGTAGGACACACTCCTATATATATGTTTGATATATATATATATATATTCGAGTCCTGAATAAATGATGTGTGAATCTTCATCTGTGCTTGAACTAACCCTTCAAAGCTCGAAGACACTTTTGTGCTCCACAGAAAACGAATCGAGTACGAGACGTGTTGACCCAGCGCTGGGTGAACTGCTCCTCTACAGCAGCGTGTTGTGAAATCACATTACAGTCTTTAATTTTTAATTAGATTCATAAATCTTAAAGTCTACACGGTTTGTTCTTGCGCACCGGCTGAGTAATGTACTCAAGGAACGCAGCCAAAAGCTGGCAGACAGATGAAAACACCCCGGAGAAACAGCCGAAAACACCAACCGCAGTTCACTGAGGGGTTCTGATGCTCTTCTGGACCTCAGTTTAGAGATGAAAGAACATTTTCCTGTCCTGAAAAAGCCACATCAGAGATTTGATTAACTCTTTCCCTGATATTGAGGAGAAAATTAAGAGCAAACACATCTTTGACTTTCTGCGTTTTATGGATATCTATGTTTTAGTGATATTACAGAAGGGAAGCATGCTTTCTTTAAATTTGAAAGCAGATGGTTCTTTATTTTGATGTATAATGTGGCCATATATTTGGGATGAACAATTATCAAAAATGCTGGCAGTAGCTGGCAACTTTAAAAAAACTGTCAGGGAAAGAGTTAAGATGCCTGTAGCGCTTACAATTGGAAAAACTTGTAACGCTAATTTGATCTCATTGCGCTCGTCTTAGCTCGTCTTATTCTTTACGTTAAAACACCTGTCATTGGATTATTTATCAATAATTGGACTTTTAAAATTCTCGGTAGCTATGGAAATTAAAAATGTAAAGCAGGACTGTTATTATCGTTTACATCCTTCAAAATGGTCCATGGTGAAGATGAATTTGTTGTCGTCTTTCGTCTTTTTGTTGCACCAGATCATCTTCACTGATTTAACTGTCAATCCTATTATAATATAATATATCCCTGTAAAAA